TGTTGGCCATTATTGAAGGCAATAAGTGCCCTTTTTAGCCATCCATTATGATCCATATACTGTTATTGTTAGTAGGCTAATTGCAACATAAAAATTAATACTTCAAAAAGACAAAAAAGCTAAAAAAATAAAAAAAAATAAAATAAATCAAAATCATTTTTGATTTTTTTGATTTTTTCGAAAAAAATCAAAAAAATCGCCAACCCTGGCAAGTAATCATGTTGGCTAATTTGCTCAGCAGCATGCTCACCCACGGGGTGAAGTATGAAAATTATGTTGGTATTGGGCAATGCTGGGCTATTTCAGTTGTCCAGCAGCACTCCGACGGGAGTCCTGTCCAGAGTCCAAAGTTCCCAGGACAGGAATGAAAAGTAAGAAACTGATCCTAATCCAAGATTAAACCAAGAGGAACAATATGCTCCTCTTCAACATTACTTAAACACACAGATATTAGACTTGACTAGATATACTACTGGAGTTGCCAATTTAAAGCAGTTAGTTGTGTGGCACTGCTATAAGCTAAGTCAAATGTGTGGGGATATAAAGTAGAATTATCTGAGATAGAAACTAGTGATCATAAGTGATGGAAGTGTTTTTTATAATAATTTTGAGTACCTATGCACAAAAAGATCCACCCGAAACATGAATTCTAACTTCTAAGTGAATTGAAATTCAAATTGTTTCAGAACAGTCATGGAGCTACTTTGTATATATTTATTTCATTTCAATCTATGGATTTCTCTTATAAATTAATTTTAGTCCATTAGTCAAAGTTTATCATCAATATGAAGGTCCAAGTAACCAACAAAGTAACATCATTATCTGCATGCTTAAAAGCTCTCATTGGAAACAATGGAGAGTCTTCAACTTCTCTGAAAAGAGAGAAATCTATTCTCAATTTAAGAGTAAGTATAAATTACCTAATTTTAATGTAAACAAAGCTGTAGGTAGTTCTTTTGGAAAGGGGATTTGAACTATGTGTATATTTATTGCTTTGAGTTACAAAATTTCAGAAATTTGAATGTTTTTTTAATTAAATATTGCGTAGGGCTTGATGGTAAAATATTTATTCAATCCCATTTATATGATTGTTTTGTTTTCAACAACCATAACTGACACCTTGGTTGCCTCTGCATAGCAGTATAGCACCTGCCTCCCATCAATGTCATCTGTGTCACTGTGTGTACATGCTACATTCTGTTCTGTATTGTAACTTCACTTGGTTACATTCCAATGCATACATATAAGTTCAAAACCACATTTTGTTTCTGGAAGGGAAGTATATGTATCATTAAAAGTGAAGGTATCAAGAATTTTCATTCTATTCTGTTTAAAATATAAATTCAGAAATGAAATGTGTACAGTGGCAACTTCTGTCAGTAAGGAATTTGAATGTTATTTCTTATTTTTTCATGTGAAGACATAAATCATTTCATAAATTAGTATTATTAATTAGTTATAATATCTCTTAATACTTACATTGTTGGTATCTCAGTTACACTTACAATCTGTGATGCCAATTTGGAATAAAAAATATTAGATTAATTTTATTATGCTTACAATTTTGACGTCTGTTTGATGTTTTCCAGGCAGTCTATGAATTTGCTCAAGAACTTGCTGCTCATCCTTGCAAAACCTGTGATAAAGAACAACTGCAAGGCCTGCTTGACAAGCTGTTCACTGTGGTAGCTGCCACACCACATCAAGTTCCATTTGATGCCTCCGTGCTAGCCTCTTCTAGCATTGCTGTGCTGCTTGAGCATTTGTATCCTACTGATGCCGATAAGCACTTATATTCCCTTTTTTACAATGTGCTTACTCACTATCCTTATGAGAATTTACCTAATTTCTCAAAACTATCATCAGCTGAGTCAAAATGCTCTTGCTGTACTCATGGTTGTATAGAAAATTTCAATGATCAAATTCTTCTTGCATGGCTTCATGGCCTTGTCAAAGTAATGCCTGCATTCCTGTTCAAGAAGTCAACAGCATTTAGCATTATAGATATATTTATTCTTCTTGACAATCTTGTCTCTATAGTTGATGCCTCATGGCTCTATCAGCTTTTTGTGGTTTTTGAATTGTGGACAGAAAAAGTCAAGGATAAAATTAACATGTATCTCTCAGAGTTTGATTTTGAACATGATCAACTGGGAGAAGTGAATGAGCTACTTTTAAGTATATGCTCTCTTCATGAAGAAGAAGGTGGATCTTTGCTCAAAATTCTATCAAATCACTGGGAGAGTCCAGTTAAAGGTTTGTTCTCCATATAGTTGGTTTAAGTGATTGTTTTCCATATTGTTAGATCGAAACTCTTGCAATCTAGGAGTGTTGATGAATACTTGGGTAAAGTTTTATGATCACATAGCAGCAGTAACCACAGCACTAAGGCGGCAGATGGGGTGGATCTGGCTGATGTTTGGAACAAGAGAAGCAGAACTGATGAGCACACTCTTCAGAACACTGGTGATACCTCTCCTGAATACTGCTGCCAGCTCTGGACCATCTGCACACTCTGTGCAGTGCGGCTATTGGACTGGGTCCAGCAAACCTTCACTTCCAGGATCAGAGGGATGGAGGAGTTGTTGTTCCTGCATCATGCCACAGAAGCAAGCCACAGCATCATGCATCATCTGGCTCATATGAGGGCAGATGCGAGATGTTCAGAGGCAGCCATCTGTCATGGCCTGGGAGTTGGGACTACTACGTCCAAAACATACCTATACTAAGGATTATTTGTTAATTGGTTTTTATTATTTTGAGCTCAGGCTGATTTAATATGATCATTAGGTCTTAACCTTCTGAATATTTACTAATAGACTAAATGTAAATGTTAATTTGAACTAATTCTGCTTATTGCTGCTGTAGTTTTTTTAATGAGCCAATTCTCACAATTTCTTATCTTCTGTGCTCCTGCTCCTGCGGAAAGTTTGTGGACTCAGAATTTCTAAGGTTGTATTAGACAAATTGAAAATGTACATTTCATGTCCGTACCTAGGTATTGTCTTCATTACAGTGATAAACTGGAGACTATTTTCACCTTCTTATTATCAATTAATAATTGTAACATTTTGTGTTCATGTGTTTATTTTATATCTATGCAATAGAGTATCATGTACCCATCATTTTTATTTATGAGATGTCAAGTAAAACCATGATCATCTCTGAGATCAAAATGTCATTAACATTACTAAGGTTTGCACTAATCCAAATTTCTCAGCAGATTTGAAACCATCTTTCTCTATTTTGATAAAACGAGAGAGATGGTTTAAATGGCCCAAATAAGGGCGGATATAAATGGGTTTTGACCTTCTGATTATTGATGCCATGTTGCAGCTAGCTTCTGAATTCAAGCCATGGTAGCATAGTTGCTACTCTTTTTCAATCAACTAATAATTATTTCTGAGATATTCATTAATAACATTAATAGAATTTTGCACAATTTATAACCTGACTAACAAACTTTGAGATGGTTTATGCTAATTGAATATTTTACATTACACAGGTGTGCCTGGGCTGTGCATCAAAATCTTGTCCAATGTTATAAGCATTTTCGACACTCTCCATGCAAATCCCTCTACCGGAGCAGATCTCCTGTGCAAATCAGTCTTTCAATCAGGATTGTGGTCTTCTAGAGCAGCATATTCAACACTGCAGGCTATCCTGATTGGCCGGCACCTTACAGCAGTGGAGGTATGTATACACAGTAGGTATACTAGATGTCAACTGAGAGAGTCTTATTTAAGGAAGTTTGTCTGCTTAGTATGACTGCCACTCCAGTCATGTATGCAGTTCAACTAACGCTTTTCTGTTTGTGATTAGAATTCATAAGGTAAAAACACATGTTACAGCTGTAAATGATGTCTTTCTGACTGAATATTTAATCTTTGCGATTAAATCCTTGTAATGTTGCAATAAATAATTCATGCAGATCCTTCTCATTTCAATATAATTTCTTGTAGGTCGGAAAATATTGAATACTGGAAATCAGTCAAAAGAAGTCCTGCTATTGTTTTTGGCCTTTTTAAATTAAAAAATATATTAATTTTTTTGTATTCCCAGATGATCGGACGAGGAGGCAAGGCGCTGTGTGAGGGCATGTGCAGTGGCTTGCGCAGTTCGCATTTAGCCATGAGCGTCACTGCATTGTACAAGCTTCTTCTGGTCTCTCTACCAGAGCCTCTTTGGATGAGGCATTTTTGGAAAGGATTCCTATCAGCCTTGACGTCCGACATCAGGTGTGTTAGAACTTTTGGCTTAGGTTTTTGACAAGTAATTGAAAAATAACCCAATTGAAATGTAAAAGATTCTCTTGCTGCATATTGCCACTGATATTTTTTTATGTTGTTGTTGTTGTTGTTGGTTGCGACCGTCACGCTCGCCGGGGGGGAGGCTCTGGTGGCGGGCGGGGGGCCGGAACCGTGCACTGCACCAGGTGCACCAGAACGAATGTCCACTCCACGTGACTGGTAGGGAGCAGACCGAGCAGGGGGGGTGCGGGCCAGGGTTGGGGTGTATACCCTGTGCCAGGAGAAGAAGAACGAGCAGGAAGAAGAGATGGGAGGAGAGCAGGGCACAAGGAGCCCCTAGGAAGATAGGCAGCCAAAGATGTGGGTAGGGGGAAGAGGAGGCCGGGGTTCCCCTGCCCTTAGCAGAAAAAAGTGACGGAGCCTCCGTCCGGTAGCGATCCGGGCGGGGGGGCCTCTGCCGTTTGGCCTGGCCCACGCGAATGCCGGGTATCCGGCCGACGCGTAGGCCAGGGTACCCCCACGACGTAGACGCGGCAGAGATCGGGAGCATATTTTATATTTTTAGTATATTTTTTTATGTCGCAGGCTTTTGTGTTTAAAAATTTACACATAATTTTGATTTATCCTTTCAGAGTAACTCAACACAACTGCATAACCTTGTGGTTGCCCATAACTCTGCGTCACTATTCATTATTATTGCAAGGTCTTCTTACTAGCTGTCCTGACACGGACGCAGGGTGGCTGGCAAGGATAGCCATACTGAAGAATTCTGACAGCGCCTTGACTTGTCATGTTCGGTGCCTCGTTGGCGGGTTATGTCAAGAGGCGATGCATCAGAAAGAGGGTTCTACCTACCAAGATATCAATAGTATCTGTAATGACAGCCTATGTACTAAAATTGTTGTTACTGAAATGTCTACTACCCCTGACTCAAACGGTAGCGGGGATAAATTTTCGAATAATGTTGCAAGAAATCCTGGCGTGGATAACTCAGTATTACTACCTGAGGAAAGTTCTATTTCTGAATCACCTGCTGCAGCGTTATGTCCTGCGAATGTTTTGTTGGAGGCTCTGAGTCACCCCGTCTCTGCCGTGCGTGCCGACGCTTTTGCTTTGCTGTGCCAACCTGACAAGCCTTCAACGCCCGTCACTGAACTTGAAGCTCATCTAATTCGAAACTTCTTGGTGTTTAACATCAACATTGACTGCTCCATTTTTCGGTTGTCTCTTGTAAAGAGTTTCAAACATCTACTATCAAGGCTTAAAACTACTATTTATAAAGGCATTAGACCATTTAAACTGTTTTTGGAAGCCGACACAAAAATCCCTTTGGATGAAATAGGCGATAAGTTGTTTACATGCTCCAAACTTGTGTTGTGGTTTGTTCGTTTCTTGCACAATCAATTAATAAGCAGAGGCAATTACCAGAGGATAATACTTTCTCTTCAACTGTACAAAGAATTGCTTATCCATTTCTCCTCTGAAATTTCCAAAGACGTTAAGCCGAATCAAGTCTCAACCATCGTACTTGTTAAAAAATTTCTTGACTTGCATAGCATTGACGACGCGTGGCTATTGCAAGAATACTTATTTCAGCCGCAATACAGACAAAATCTGGATATGTCGTTTAATTTCAGCGCCTTTTCTTGCCCATCATGTTCCACGGATATTGGAAGTCTTCGTGCTCATCATCGTCTCCGAGTTTGTGATTTAACTCTGCCTTACACTGTCCCTCTAATGATGTCTCTACTAATACATGAAATGAACGATGTACGAGATGAAAGTGAATGTATTCTTATGACATTGAGTGACAATGCCTGGCTACAGTATCTTGAGCGCAATGCATTTTCAGGAAAAAACGAGTCATTGAATGATATAACGTTGCGTGCAGCCCATCTTGAAATTACGTCTAAGAACAAATACAAATCCTTTTGCTTGTGCTCTTTACTAGAGTACCAGAACGAATCTGAAACACCCAAAAATTCTATTGAAACTATCGAAACTTCGCCAACTGGAATCTCTGAAGTAAGAGCCAGTGACTACAAGGAAATATCAGCAACCAAGAGTCGGTTTGGAAATGTGCGAGGCGGCGGCCATGCGTGTATGGTTTTATCAGGGCACCTGAAAGACGCCTTTGCACTGCTGGATAGCCCAAAAATGAGTGTCGCTGAGAGTGGGGCCCTCGTGTTGCGTGTGCTGATAACTGCCATCAAACGAATGTCCGCAGTCTTGGATTTATCTTTGGAGCAGGTACGTCTAGTTATGTAGATAGTTTATTATTTGTTGTTTAAATAAAATATAAAAAATATCGAATGTTTAACCTGAAAATCATGTTTGCTCAATTATGGTAATTTTCCGGACCAGGTTTAGTACCGGCAGTTAGTCGGGTATCTTCTTTCTGCACATTGTCCAGAGTATGAAACTGATGAATATTAATGAACTAATATCTAATTGCAAGGATTTTTTGCAGTTAATTTGTAGAAATAATCACATTTTAACAACTTTGCTCAATGATGACTGTTTCAGGTGCTGCTTCAGGTGCCTGACATTTCAGTGCGACCTAACCCCAGCACTGATGACGACGTGATATTGATGATACGCGTGTTACTCAGCAAAGCTGCTCGAGACTTGGCTGCAGCGCGGCACAATCTGCTTCACGCTGCCACCTCAGCTCCCGTACATGGCACCTTGTTGGTTGGTACTATGAGAAATTGCCAGCTCAACATTATTTATTAGTATAAATTGCTGTCTCTTTTACGTGTCAACTACTATCACGTCAACTGGACGTTGGTTATGACAGATAATTCTTAAGATTTAACAATTCCGATCCCGATATCGAATCATCTTCCCCCCACAGTGAAAGTTTTCGAACCGAAATCATTTTAATCGAAGAAAAACCAACTGAAACCCTAACTTTGTCCTCAAAACACTGGAGCCTGCATTTCGTTTTATGTTCTCCGTTTGTACCGTGGTGTTTCTAAATTTGTTTTGATAGCACTATAGGTGAACTATTCTGATTCTGAATTTAAATGGATTGATTTGCATCTACGACTCTTCGCAAGTTACCTGAGGTTTACCTCATCCACTCCGTTGCTCCATTGCTTTTCGTTTTGTTCATTTGTGCTTCAAATATAGGTTTGCTGATTAGTTCAAGAAGAAGATTGCTGATTAGTTCGTGCTGCTACAATTTTTCTCTAATTACAGGCTATACATTCGGTCCTACAAACCAACGGCTCCATTGACAGCAGCGCACAAGATATTTATGCACATCTTCTAACTGAAGTTTTACTCCTCTCTGAGGAGGCCGTGGAGTTCATGCTTGGCAGAATGGCTCTTGCTGCGAGTGAAGGTTCAGGTAAACAAAATCTCATAAATAAAGATTGTTTGGATCAAATTTTAGGGCGGTAGTATGCTAGCCACTTACATATCCGGGAAAGGACTTGATAGCATGCTCAGCAATTTCGATCAAATATGCAACTGTGTAATTGGATACTTATCTTATGTGTAATACATTTTTGCATACGTTTTCCAGCTGTCGCTCCTTCATTCTCCGAGATCAGCGAATCTATCGAAGCCATAATACAAGCGTGCAAATCGAGCAACTCCTCCAAGCCTGAAACTGAAGTAAGCGCGGATATTGGCATTGATATTCCGCCTCATCATTGTGATGATGACGAATTCAGCATGGACTGCGGAGCCATATCTGGCGAACATCAGCTGGTGCTATCTTGCTGCTGGCAGACAATCAAGGTGCCACTTACAAAATATACCTACATATTTACACTAAAATTTCAGTTTACAAATGCAGTTCTTGGTCATAGGTGTATTTTAAAGTATCAAGGTAACTATAATTTCTTCAGCCTATTAACATTATATCGTTTGTGATTTCGAGAATTGAGGTAAATAATTGTAGCAGGAGCTATTACTTCCAGCGACATGATGCTGATTGTTTGCATTCATTGCAGGCTGCTTGTCTGGTCAGCTCGACAGTAATAAGTCTGCCGTACATCAAAGTGTGCGACTACAATGACTCCGTCACAAAGGAAACTAGTAACGATTTTGTTGACAATTCGGATGTTAGTGATGAAACTTCGTCTGCCTTAGCAACTAAAGTGAACACCAACACCACCGACATTGCTGCGCTTACTGAAGCTGCAAGCTCAACTTTATTTGGAAGCAACCTGGGTAAGACCTCAACAAACTGGAATACTGGAAAGATTGAAAACCACCTTACTGCTACAACTGAAAAATGTTTCATCTTCCTGCCAATAACCGCAGTGCAGCGTGCCGTCAGTTGCGTACTTCTGCGAACGCTTACAGGTGTGTTGTTGTCAATAATAATGTGAAAATCTGGAAAAATAGTACATCTTTTATTAAATCTTTTAGGAGTAAATTCTGTATTGAATTCCCTATCTTTTATCTCTAATTAGAACTTTGAAGTTGGATAATTTTAAGGCATCGTATGAAATAGATGTATTGAAACGACATATATCCATCTTCTCCTCGTAAAACGTTGCAATTGTTTAATTGTGCTCATCGTTAAAATCGTTTTGCATTGATTTCAGGCACGCGCCACAAAGGGGCAATCGAGGCGGCCAAAATTTGTCTGACTCGAGTCGCGTCCGCGCTACTGACCAACTCCTCCACATACGACCTCCTGGATGAGCTAGTCAGTGTTTACATCTTCTTGACGCATCAATATTTTATACATTGTGTTGAAATATTGCAATTGACCAATGACTCTGATGCCAAAAATGAATTTGAGTTTCTATCCCCAACCTGCGTATTGAATTCAAATTCGCTAGTTTTTTCTTGCGTGTGAGCAAGAGCGACCCTGCGTTGAAAACGGGCCTTGATATTAAAATTTTGTTCTCTTCTAATCGAAATATGTTTATTTTCTAGTGGTACGACCTTTTTGCACGCCACCTAATAATAGCCATGTTTTTTTTGTGCATTGTCGTTCAACTTTGCCATGGACTTTCAACAACTAGACTTGGAAGATACATGGCGCAGAATAATAAGTAATCAATATTTTTTTCCGCGATAGCTACATTGCACGCTTGTACGGGAGCTTGCCCTGGACTCGGGAGACGCTGGCGCGGCCTCCGCTCGCCGGTCTGTAACGCGGCGGGCAGCAGGACTAGCGATGTTGTCGCAGGCTCTCTGTGTTGCGGACCACAACCACGCCTCACGAGGCTCCCCGCCGCGACTACTGCTACACACCCTGCACACTCTGCTGCAGCACGCGTGTCATGGGCAACAGGTCTAGACCCTTGCTTGCTTTTGTCTCAATCTCTGATGATGATGTCATCATGATACTCTTTCATAGTGATGGCAATGAAAATGCGAGTTATTATCTTGCGCGGTGAAAAGTTCATTCTGCGCAAATATCGTGAGATAAAGAACAGGGCTTATACTTTCAAAAAAGTTAAGAGATCGTAAGTTCGTCAGCCAATTATTGACGGCCTTTCAAGCAAAATCTACCAATCATAGACAAGAAAATAGAGCGTAAGTACTTACGTTCACTTAGCGAGTTATGAAAGTATGGCCTCAGGTCCGGTTATACGATACTATATGTTCCACTGCAAACGCTCAGCATCAACCATGCTCGTTTGCTCCCTCACGTTTATCTCTGCTTCGACTTGTGTTGAAACAGACACAAACCAACGTCTGTTCCATTATTATGTTCCTATAGGAAAGTGAAGGCTCGGACTGCCGGTGCAGCGTGGTGCTGCATTTGCTGCAAGGAATTGTGCAGCAGCTGCAGCATTGCCATCGTCTCGACGACATTGCCACCGCCTGCATCGCGGCCTTCACTTCTTCGTGCTGGCGATGCAGGTAAGCCTACCAGCCTTAATATTAGGATTTGCTCGTGTAGTATTTATGAAGATGCCGCTGTATAATTGCGTTTGATGCTTCTAAATAGGTGTGCCAGCAGATTTCATTGTTGCCAAAGTTCTTTTTTGGTTATTGTTGAAACATAACTAATATTTGTTGCTTGCGTTATACTGGATGGCTGTTGTTTACGTTTTTGTAGCCGTCATTATATAACGTACAAGATTCATTTCCACTCGTGATTCTTCAGAACTACCGGTAATATCTGGCTAATTTCTACATTATCTGATTCGAATCGTGATTCTGCTCAGAATTATTTTAGCGACTAATCCATGACATTTCATCAGTGCAATGAAAAATGTACAATTGAAAAAAATCAAGAAGCAATTTTGGATTATGTATTTTCTTACTGGCTGCTAGGAACGCAGGACTGCAGCTTTTTGGGAGCGTTGTGACGCGTTTGGTGGGACAGAAGAAAGTGGCGGATGATTCGTCGGACTACAACAGCCTCATCGCCCCACAGTTCATAGCCTCGCACCCTGACCTGACGCGCGCCCTGCTGAAGCTCCTGCGCCAGACTGCCTTTGCAGTTGGCCGAAGTAGTGGCAGCTGTTATAAATGTAAAGCAGATAGTGAAACAGTCAAATTTACTGCGCTTCAGAATATTGCGTCTCGAAATAGCAGCCATATAATTGTAGACAGTACATGTCCTTTAGCTTCCGAAATCCCTGAGCTGGAGAATATTAATAGAGACTATCAAATAACGAAATCTGTGTGCGATAAAGCATCAAATTCAGAGCGTGGGGAAGAAAATGATACGGCTGCCATCACAACTTCTGTTGATAAAAATGTCATTCAGAAAAATGCTCAGGCTGAGAAGAACGAAGTCGAGTTATCATCAGTGGTAATCCCTGTCCTGTGCTTACTATCGCGCTTGTCACCTGGTCTACAACTGTGTGATGATCAGTTCAAGGAAGTCATTGCGGGCTTTCAAGAATCGTTGCGTTTACTGCTTGGCTCGTCTATTTTTTATATTCGTTCTTTAGCAGCCAAAAGCCTTTTGTCGCTCATACCCCGGGCTGAGCAGACATGTTTCATTGAAGTTCTCCTCGACAAACTCTACGAACACTCCGGGAATCCTGCGCAGGCATCAGCTCGGGACATCGTTCGTGAACATAATTGTATTAGTAGCAATGAAAGGAATGGCTTCCTGCTGCTCCTCAAGTACTATATCCAACGAACTAAAATACCTGTTGATTCTATTCCTAATGAAAATCCCTCTGAAATGCTGTGCTCGGTAGCAGCGAAAGTTTTCATGCGTGATGGGGAATGCTTCATAAATCGGAGCTTAGCATGCGAATGTCTCATGCATCTAAACGATTATTCGCTTTTTGTTGACAAATTGATTTTCGGTGGAGCTAGACTTCATCACCCTGGCTCTGAAAGATTCCTTGAATTAACCATCATGTACCAATTGCGCGCTGCACCCGCATCTCGAAGAGAAATCACGGTTTCAACACATCTCTTTGGCAGCTTTCCTGAATCTGCTAAAATCGCCGCGGATTTCTGGGTGAAAGAGCTTCAGGTACAAAATTATCCCTTAGATGATAGCGACTGGTTTATTTTAGAGAATCTATTAAAGAACATTTTGTACTGTGAACTGAACATGAATTCCGCAAATTTCTTACGAACTATTTGTCGATTATTTGACTCCAGAAAATCAATTGTGAAAGACATGACTAAAAACTTCGATTGTCACGGCATGTGTCATCATGCGCTGATGTCGGTCTTGAGAGGCGATCTGAACGCTGCAGCTCAAAGGGACCTGTTGACCCTCATGAGTTATCTACTCAGCTCTCTTCGTGTTTCATTCACAGATGATGTATTGATGCTGTTCTCGAAAACTGTCCTCGCTTTCTCGCAGGAAAACGCTGCAGAAGTATATCGTTTGTGCAGTGCGAAGTGCGTTGGTTTGCTCTTACCTCGCTTAATGACTCCAGGTGGCGGGAGTTTGGTGAGCCTCAAAGAAAATCTCGTCAAGATTGTATGTGATCTTTTGTACGATGAGGACCCATATGTTCGCAGCACAGCTTCTTTGTTCCTCTCGCACATTGCCGAGTCCTCGCTAATTCATAAGACGCATCCAAACAAAGCTTTAGTTGATATTCTGGATTACATCGCTGAACAATGCTGCTTACAAGATGATGTCATGTTGCTCGAAAGTTTATGGCGAGAATACAAGGAAGTTGCCCGTACAAGTTCCGGCATAGGAGCTAAAACAAAAAATTGCGGTAAGAGTTACCTTTTTGAGTCGCAGTCACTGAATTTGTACAAAGAGAGCTCGATCATGTTGCAGCTGCTTCAGCAGGCTCTATTTGTCATCAGCAGTAAAGGATCGTGTGCTTTACGAGATCATCTAACGCAGCTGCATCTTACTTCTTCAACACTGGAAAATTGACAATCTAGTACTGAGCTCAAGTACGTTGTTCGACAAGCCCTAGTATTAGCAGACGGGTTCCTGTATGATTTTGAAGTGCCTTAACAAATCATGATATCGTGATGAATACATTCTCGATCTTGCTATTTTTTTATTTTTTATCCGTTCTTTAGTACCGTGTTCATTGTACAACCGAGGCTCATTTACACTCGACTACTAGCGTAAAAAAAACAACATAAATTTAAATGACAGGGCTCAGACTCTCAGTTCGAATAATCTGGTTTCCCGAAAGGGATAAAAGAATTTGCCAAGTTGGGCTCGTGTCTGATTTCCTAGATTTGTGCTTCTAAATTTTTCAGTGCTAGTTTTCATTGAATTGAGTTTTTGTTAAAGGAACAGCTTAAAAATTTGTAATGATGCAATTTTTTAGCGATTACTTAACATGGTTCGTGCACACAAGTATTTTGTATACAACTTTATAGAACATGTAAATGCAAAGGTGAGCCTTGCTATATTATTGTTGTAGGTGTGAGCCTTATTATGATCTCTGATGACCTGAATCTGTTCCTGAAGCACTAGAAAGTGGCGACTAAATGGAGTACATGCAAAAGATGTTGCACATTTCACTTATCTTCATGTTTAAAGAACGTTTAATTTACGGAGTTTTTCGCAGCCGCTGTCCACCTGCTGTCTTGCCTATTATATAAACCACATCACAGGAAGATCCCACTACCAATCCAGCGTATCTATGAATTATATATGGAACATGAGTGGAACTTCTATCGACATGTCAATAAGTCAGATAATATAACATAACATAGCGATGCCGGCGCTGAAGAGTGGGCCTGACGTTCCGATTCTTGTACTTTTCGTGACTTGTTCACAGAAGGTCCAAAAGCATGTCCTTTGACCGGAATTTTTCAAGACTGACGATAGTTTGCAATAACTACTAGATTTCCACCTGTTTCGATATGGTGTTAGGCATTTCAAGTCTGAACAAACATTTTTCCACATTATCTAGTCTTTTTTCGAACACGTTTATACTCTGTGCGTCAACTATGTAATCGGGGAGGCTGTTCCACATGTCTGATTCGAAGCGAGAAGAAATGTTGTCGCATGGATGAGTTTTTTAGTTTATAGCCGTGGCCCCTGGTGTTAGTTCTTGTTTCAAACTCTAGTAATCCTTCTGGGACCTTGTATAAACCACGAGTATACTTGTACACTTCAATGAGGTCCCACGCAGACGTCGATCACAGAGGCTTGGAAGCTTCATAATCTTTCTTCATAGGACTTGCCCTTCAAGCCTGGAATTATACTTGTTGCACTTATTTGCACACTCTCCATTAAATTTTTGTCCTTTTCAAGTCTCGGTGACCACAATGCGTATCCAAACTCAAGGTTCGGCCGCGCGACAGCCACACACAACGGGAGCGCAGCCGTGGGTAACAAAATTGACTCGTAAACAGGCCCTGGGCCTGTTTAACGAGTCCCTGGGTACTGAACTTTAACCACTAGGCCACCCTGCCGTCTATTAAACCCAATTCTGCCTTCTATTAAACCCAAGCCTAGCATTAAACGCAGTGCCACTTAAATCGATTAAATTTCATGTCTAGTAAATAGTAAACAGAAATAAATAACCATATCCTCTGTCAGTACTTATAAACAAAATTTATAGATATGAAAATTTTCTTCAATTTTTCATATATTTAACTAAAGAGGAAAATTCGTAGTACGATATTAGTTTACATCGCATAATTATACTATGAAAGTAGTTTTTCCTTAAAGTCATTCTACTACGATTTTTCCAAATACTTGAGAAAATTGAAAATATACATATATATTTTCTACATTACGGAAAACACTATTTTGGACTGCAAAAAGTTTGCCAGTTTGAGTTAACCATGCTCGCAACAGATGGCGCCACAGTTCCAATCAATCCAAAACATGGATTGGGAGAGGTTGAGAGAGTGCTGTGTACGTTTCTATGTTAGGTAAAGTGTTGTATATATAGTTCATAAGATTAAACACTGAACAACGAGGAATCAACGACGACGAGGATGTCAGGGAAAAATGAGAAAGATGGTTAGTCTATGTTTCATGCTTGCTGCATGTTTAGTTAATGTGTTACATGATACCGGAGCTGGAATTTGGGCGCAAGCCGCGCAGGAAATTTCTTGGTCGTTATTATTTCTAAAGAAATTGTCTCTAACTCTCTATATAGGTACTAGTCTATCTAAGTTCGGACTTCGATAGACTATCACTATTAGAAGCAACGCTCATTGACTGATCGAGTCGTAGCGCCATTGCCGGTCATGTCACGACCGTTGACTATGAAAATATTTCCCGTATTTGGCGTAGCCTAGTATACGCCTATTAGCGGCCTATACGGTAGGTTTAAAAATAAAATATATGTGCATTTTTTCTACACCTACTTCATAATTAAATTTCATTCTATGCATATACCTAAGCATACAGATAGGTACTACATAATACATATGAATAAAATGTTTTGTTTGTTGATAAAAATTTGGGAGTACCTAAATACTTATTTATAGTTTTATTATATATCTAGGTACCTAGTTAATTTCACTATTGACGAATAAATTAGGATGTGAACCGGATGGGTGATTTTATTTATTTATACCCAGGGACCAGGGTGAATGATGAACCGGATGGTCATGGGTGAATGATGTTACAGGTGTATTCCATTCAAGTTTATTTCGGTAGCCTAACTCCTTTAATTTCTTAAAAATTAGAAGTTTTTTTTTTACTTGCCCAATGGCAATGCGTTTTTGCTCAAGTATCATAATCAAGTAGAGATACCAGAGACTAGAATATACAATACTATATAATATAGCCTACCTTTCAGCAAGTATACATTCTATAATTATTCTACCTGTTATAAGTTTCATCACTTTCATGTAAATTTTTATGTAACTATTTTTAAAGTGTTTTTAATTTTAAATTAAAAAAAACACATGATAATGATATACTTTTGAGTTTTGACTTGTTGAGTTGTTTCAAATGCAAGTGTGATTAATTAATTAATTAATTTTCTACTGTTCTGAATACATTATAATGTAGTAAATCAGAATACCTAGGTACCTAATCTTTTGTTGTAATGTTGACATTTGTGGGGCATGGGCAACCATCATTATTTAATTAAGGCTACCGGTGTCCGGTACCGGTACCTACCATGTTCCTGTTGGATATCATTACTGTAATGATTAAAATTTGTTTAGGTCTAATATTTTTATTGATTTTAGCATTTATTTTTAGGAAAATGTTTTATTCTTTTTTTTTTTTTGTAGGTAGCATTTTTTTTCTCTGGTCTTGTTTTAGCATGCATTTATCAAATTTATAATATTTATTATTCAAAACTCTTAAGTTATTGCATTGAATTTTATTATGCTGATTGCACCAGACTGAACTATTTTCTTAGTCTTAAGATTTGCTTAAGGGGCATGTAATTTATGCCACAAGATTCCAGTTTACTTTTAAATAGCTTTTCATAAATTATGGTTATTTTAAATTTTAACTTTAACAACTTATAACATTCAGTGTAGAACATTATAGGTATATGGTGGCATGGTGCTACATTATTATTTTTCATTTTAAAAAGTGAGGCTATTGCTGCTATCAGCTGTTTTCAGCAATATTCTTTTCTTTTATCTTATCATTAAGACACAGTATGCTCCCTGTGCTGTATGACTGTACAATGTACATGTAAGCCACGACTCAAAGCATGAGTTTTAATCAGCAATGCCAGCAGTTAACCCAATGCAGGCTAAAGACAGCCAACGAATTATCTGTGTTTGTTGGTTCCACAAGCCACTATGGCATATCAACATGTTTCTAAGAATTTGATTAGTTAGGAAGTGTATCATGTCTAGAGTTGCTAAATATATCTATGTATTTTGCAGCACTGCAACCTGTTCATCCCAAATCTTTTGAAGATTACCCTTTGTGTAATTTTTAAATTTTAATTAAGTACGAATTTTTTGTTAGACAATTTACTAGTTAGCTTTGCAAGTGATGCAGAATTGGCCTGAAGTTTCGTCACGATATGTCCGGATGTCAAATCTGATAATGAGTCTCTTGCATCCTGTAGCCTGCAGTGAGCTGTGGCTCAGCACGTCGTCTCAGAGGTGCCGGAAATGTACTGAGGTTTAGTTTTCATTTGGTATGGTTGTCAAACGCCATCAAGAGGTTCTCCACAGTTTCAACGTCATTGCTTGTAAAATTTCTATGCCATAACTGACTTGTTCTTCTCGAAGTTTACTCTCATTCCCTCGCCCAAGATGTCTGATTCTGAAAATAATTCTCCCCTTCCCAAGAGAAGTGACCGCTTCTCTTCAAGCAATGGTGGTGGCACGTTACGTCGATTAGGTGGCATACGGCGTAAAATGTCTCTCGGTGCAACGTCTTTTGTGGCTGGTTTATCAAGCGATAACACTAGAGAGGAAATCGTTTCGGTCTCTAAGGAACCAAATTACGTTCGTGAGGTTTCACTTGAGCGTAAGAATCATTATGGATCAACGTTCTCACTGCCTGCGGTTCGCGACAGTAGTTTTGGGAGCTTGCTGAGTATTCCTGGCGCATCGTTCATCAAGGAGCGGTTTGCTAGGAGTTCGTCGCCACGCAGGGTTTCCACACCGACTGGTTGTGACGGCATCGAATCACTTACCCTGAATCCCGAGGATCTTGAGGAAGTTGTGGAAGAGGGCGAAGAACGGATGGACTTGTCATTTGTTGATGAGACCGATAATTGCGGCACTTCTTATGGTTCGTTGAAATTAAACGTAGCTATTCATAACGTAACGCTGTGTCTTGTCTCGGCATGCATGCTGGTGTTGATTTTCATTGTTTTGTATTTATATACTTTTGGAAAGAGGAAAATTCTAATTATTTCAATTATTTTTTCAGGTAAGGACTTGGGAGACAGGAATCTGGCTTGGACATATAACGTGGCATATGGTAAGTATTCCACTATTGTGTAAATATTTCTGTTGGGTCAGATGGCCTTCAACTGATGATATTGTTCCTGCCGATAAGGGATTCCATGTGGATACAAAATAATTTTAGAAACACCATCATTGGAAAGTAAGAGATTTTTTGGGGAATATATATCAGCGATCAGGTGTAA